ATGCTCAGCATTTCCAAAATAAAACCCCCTTCTCGTTTACAACATAGGAAAACATGAACGTTAATTATTATGCTGTTTGATTGAACAAGCCTTCCATCTTCGAAACCATTTATCTTGCGTGTACTTTTGTCAGGTTCTTCACACAACATACAAACATTCCACACCAAATCCTGTAATTAATTTTAAATCGTGATTTATACAACAATTCACTACAAATGCACGCATACATGTATTTTATGACTGTTTTAGGAAAAATAAAAGAATGAGTCGTGAGTCTATATGATATATACATCGAATTTTTTTTTTATCTTGAGACCTCAACAGGGGAAAGTTATCAATGTGACAGCAAATCGGATTTTCTTTTGTGAGAACAATATTGTTATTTCTCACATAATTATAAAAACTATCTATTCTGAATACCACATAGAAACAATTGGTTGGGGGTGGGGCTTAATAAAGCTTAATATTAAGCTTGAAGCTTAATAATAAATAGAATCCTGTGTGCATGTTAAGAATAATAATGCAAAAAAGATCAAATTTTATAGAAACATGAAAACTGTAGCCAACTTTAAAATAATGTTTATTTGTCCTCTCCCGACCCCTGGATGAAAAATTTGGGTCGGTAGGTAGGTGAGAAAATTTTTTTCACAGAAAATGTTCAAATCAATGCTGAATTTTCAAGGTATTATTTTCTGGAATGCATAACAAAATAATTGTTTCCTGGAGGTTAAAAGGTTTTGAGTCGGGCCATTTTACAACCAGTCGGTCGGGAGAGGGCAACCAAACAAATTTTTAAAGATGGCCTAAAATAATTATTAATTACCATAGATATATAAACATATAATAATAGTATAAAACATAGAAATTTTAACTGTATAAATACACAGCATAGAGACGAATAGACAGTTACAATTACCATAATTTTAGTTCAAAATGAAAAAGATATCCCGTGTTGGTTTCCTACAAGGGATCCCCCCTTTGAGATTCTGTATTTGGCACAGCTGTAAACTGCGAATCGAGAAAATATAGGTTTGGGACACTCGCTACTATTGGGTTTTCTCAGTAGCATATGTCAATTAAACATTCCGACATGGAAGTACATGTATTTTTTATTAAGAGGTATTAACATTAATGTTTGTAATGTTTTTAATCCATTAGAAATGCTTGTTAGTTGAACACATATGAAGAGCAAACCAATAACTACTTTAGTTACACGTGCCTTATGTATGTTAACTCTTCCCAATAAAATACCGTGGTTGTATTTATGTAGGAGGGGGCAACATACTGTTACAAGTATCCGTTCTTCGAAATGGCGACCAGTTCCATTGAAACATACTATCCTTTCTGACATATTTTATTTCATCAAATAAATTCTGCAATATGACTACTTAAAGTAGTCATATTGCAGAATTTATTTGATAAAATAAATAAAATATGTCTGAAAGGATAATACGATTTGAAAATTTTAGATCTCATTTTTTTTCAGTAACTGTCCAACCAAACAACAAAATCTTATTCTTTTCATCTGGTCAAACTGGTTTTTCAAAACAAAAAAAAATGGAACAATTTAATCGGTTGGACAAATTTTTAACTGTACATGTATCCAAAGAAACAAAAATGGTTTTTTAAATGGATTTTTTCTCCAATTGTATTTTAGACCACATGTACATAATGTTGATGTGTAAGTGTCTCTACAAGATTCTGGTGTTTAAATATCAAGAATAGCTGCCGTTGCCATGGAACTAAAAATGGGTCATTTATTTCTAAAAGTTTGAAATTTTGCAAATCTTTAAGAGAGTATATGCTCTCTGCTTTTAAATTCTATATTACTCCGCAGGCTTCGAGGGGACAGATTATCTTTCGGCCAGAAGAAGGTGTTTCTTGTATTATTTTGCTTTTGGTTTTGTTTTGTTTTGTTTTTTCCATCGAAGAACTATTCGATTGAAATGTTCACAAAATGGTATGTGGAACCTACAATAAAATAAATGAAGAATTTGTAAAAATGATCGATTCATAGATAAAGCACATTAAAATATCAATCACTAAAGGTGGCCTGTTATACATTTTAGAATTCGTGAGCAAACAGGTACCGCTGCTCCGACAGATGTGTTCAGACATCGATTCTTACGATTTTTGAGGAACTACTTTTACAATTTCCTATGAGTTTAAGTTTTGGGTTGAGACTCAATGACTTGAACCATATATTTTAAGATTTCATACTAAATTCGACTATTCATGAGTAGAAAATACTCATATTTCCATTAAAAAATCAGTTGACTTTCATATACACTTTCAGCCGAGATATTGTCGATATGAATTAAGCATTGATAAAAGAGGGGAAATCCTACTCTGAGAAAGAAAGAGGGGAAATCTGGCTCTAGTGTGAGATTTCGCCTCGGGGGAAAATCTTACTCTATAGTACAGATTTCGAGGGGAAAGCTGGCTATGAGGGAAATCCTACTGTACAACACCGGTGGTAATTGCTACTTTTGACATGTGTTTTCAAAGAATGGTATAGTACTAGTGACATACTGTAAAATCAGTTATTTTCGCTGGGTCAAATTGTCGTCTTTGAGGAAATAATATTAGTTCCTATTTGAAGACATGAACATTACACTGTGGTTTAAAATATTAAAACGTTTTGTGAATGAATTCACGGATCATGCACTTCATACCACAGAAACAACGGAAATAACATCCACCCAACGTCACCCCCCCCCCCCCCCCCCCCCGAAAATTAAGAATTTCTTAACTTGGTTGTTACTGGTTAATTTGCTTCATAAAAACCGATTTTTATTCTGTAATTTCAAACAAAAAAAATAGCTTATAGCAGGTGTCCGAAACCAGTATTTTCTCGATTCGCTCTTTACCAGCGGGATAAGTAGAGTGTTGTTGGACTTTTATCATTTAAAATAATTGTTGCACAAAAATAATGTATAACCCCCAACCAACCCAAACCCCCAAGTTAAAAAGCAAAATGAATATTGGTCATATTAGTAGCCTTTTGAGTCATTTTACTTCATCCAATATTCATTAATGATAATAATCGGCTACAACACCACTTTTAAAAATCCAGACAAGTTGAAGCCTACATTCTCTATAATTCTGTACACGTATAATAATAGATTCATTCAAAATCTGTGCAGTACGTTGTTTTCTATAGATCTTTCATTCTTTTTCTAAAGCATAAGATTTTAATTTTTTGTTCCTATTTATTCATTTAACCATTCAATTTTATTTATCTTTTTTTTTTTAATTTTTAATTTTTATTTGATTTTATTTTGTATTTTACTTAGATTTTTTTTTATTTTTTATATTAAATTCATTTTTCTTATTTATTTATTTATTTATTTATTTTGCTATAAGGATTTATAGCTGTGAGGGCCTATTGCCCCCCTCTCTTTCCCCTCTCTCTTTCTTCTATGGTGATCCTTGGCTCGCTATATTTTGTCAATAAACACTTTCAATTAATGCTTTTTCAGAATGAGTAGGATATTTACGCTAAACCCTTCTAAAGTCATCAATATTTAAGATTTTGTTCAAATTTTTCTGATTATCATTCTTTTTATATAATGATTTGGCATCATTTTTTCTACTTTTTCATTCCATTAAATTCTAGGATGGCAAACGTAACGTAACTTATTACCAAATTGACAGATTTTATCCACGATCTTTGCCTGCAAGTTCTAATCTCGGAATCTCTTATTCTTATAGTATTTCTTAGAAAAACACTTAAATTGTGATTTTTTTTTTTCACGTGAAATGTAGTATATTTTAACGGTAATAAATCAAAAACGAAGTTTGACAAGAACCTCGTATTTGAAACTTGATTTGAAAAATATCAAAACATAGACATATACATGTAATATATCTTTAATTTGAAATTATCAAAAAAAAAAAAAAACATTCAATTTCAATCGAATTTAAAGATAATTCGAGAATAGCCGTGAAAACAAAAATTTAAGAAAGAGATATTTTACGCACAAGTTATAGGGAGTGTCATTTATTTAAAAAAAAAAAAAAAAGGGAAACAAATTGGAAGCTTATGGGCGATTTATACCAACCAAGGTCAAACATTCTATGCTGCTACAGAGGCTGTTTACAAACAGATTATGTGGGACACGTGCAAGGGGATTTCCCGTAGATCTTGTACAGAATAAAAAACGGAGAAAATCCAGCTGAAGTTCTGGAATTGTTAACAAAACATGATAAGAATGACAAACAAACATGTAGCTGGGTTTTGCAAATATATATACATGGGGTTTTTTCCTCCATATTATAATTTAAAAAAAGAAATTTTTATTGGTCAATTAACTAATGCCTTTTAATTCTACATCTATATCATAATTTGTTACTTTTATTTTCATCTTCACATAAACATGCGAAAATGATGTTCAAGTGTCCGAAAGAAAAACAAATAACTATATTTCCCAAAACTCATTCTTGACCTATTGACTTAATATAAATAACTTCTCCTTTTTTATATTCCTTCAGCTATATTTTCTATTGCAACAGATTTTTAGATATCAATATCTGACTTCGACAGCATATATTAAGGTTTGGAACTTATCGTGGATTCCACACTGTGAAATTTATGTGGATGAATGTGTGAAGATTTTTTTTACACGTGTATTGGTTGCGATTTTCATAATCCGTGATAACATTAACGAGATCATCTGCACACCTCTAGAAATTCTGCGTTTTGTTTACAACCTCCATGTAAACAGTGTGCAGCTTAAAATGACGTAGCGTGGAAAATCAGCCAATGAAGGGCCTGATTACAACTCATGGGAAGACCCTTCTGGAAGAGCGTGACGACGTGACGTATGATGAAGAGCTTTGACTATTAATCAACAAAATCAGCCAGGTGTGTCGAGATAAACCTGACCCATTGCTAACGGTATATATACTTGTTTTCTGTTTTAAGTGAGACAGAAATTTTATCATTGCAATATAGCACAAATATGCAATAGTAAAGGATACATACGAGTTGAATTTAGAATCATTGTTTGAAATTGTTTTATGTTATAGTATAGTGGATATCGTCTCATATAGGTAGGTAAGTGCTTAGAAATTATTTTATCGATTTGAATTTCTGCTGCATGTATGACCAGAATTCATGAACTTATAATTCATATTTGCACAATATTTGCATTTTACTTTTTAGATAAGAAAAAAATTGTAGAGAATGTTAATGACAAATTCAAATAGAGATTGCATTTCATTACTCAATATGGACGGAAAAGGGAAAAAATGGAATAATACATGCATTTAATATAAAAAAAATAAATCAAAGTGATAATCGCTATTATTGCAAAAAATATTATACTAACCGTAATTTTGTTTAAATGTTTTAAGAAGTCAACTTGAACGTTTTGCAAAAGATTACTTGTTAATTATTCGCTAATCCCTTGACTGTTTAGTGTAACACGATGATAAAAGAGATGGACGGTGTCCCGTCTCTATAAAACACTTGTTAGTGGACAATCAAGGACAGGGTTTTCTAGGTGGGTCATTATGTTTGAGAGGGATGTGCAGACGGGTGACATCTTGTACAGGAGTAAATAATCACACACGCCCGCGGTAATTAGCAGACCTAATTCATCAAGTGAAGATTTACAAGCAAACATGATGTATGAACCCATTAAAAATAAGAATGTCGAAAGATTACGAAACAATGAACATATTTGTACACAATAGCAAAATATAGCGTCATAGAATGTGAGTCGTTAGTTTTAAGTACGATAGCAACATTCTAGCTGGTGTCTCGATTTCAATTGAACATCTTGATAGTAATTCTAAATCTTAACGACACGTTTCAAAGAGTGTATAATGTTAACATTTAATTCATAAGTTGTGCGTAATCGATTTTCTGACATACAAAAAATGGACTCAAGAAAAAGCTTGTAATAAAGCAATAATTTAAATGCTTATGTAACACCTTTGTTTTATCACAACTTAGCTGAAATCTTCAAAATCTTTATCTGAAATAATTAATTATATTATTATCAATATCATTTATTATAAAATAATATATTTTAACCCCTCTGTCGAGATTTATTAATCTGTTTTATATAAAGCTTGATGATATTTGGAAGAAAAATATAGGAATCCGAGATGGAAACGTTAAAACCTAAACTGGACGAGCGTCTCCGAGAATGCACTAAATACTAAATGCCAATAAAATGGCGTATTATGCTCACAGTATAAACTTTCTGTCTAGACTTTATATCTGTAGTTTCTTCTTTTAATAATTTAGGATATCACTAGTATTTTGTTTAGTTTTTCTCTCATCAAAAAAATAACAAGTGCATGATTCCCTTCATACTTAGGCCATAATTTTCACTTTATGTTCTTCAATTGTTAGCCACCCAAACATTTAACTTGCATAGGTATACAAAATTAATATAAGGTTCGACATAGCTCCTAGCTTTTATACATATTTACATAGGAAAAGAAAATGTTATAATATTGATGAAAACTTTCATTGTTTCAGAGAGAATCTATCATGAATGTATTTATTTTTCTTCAAAAGTAGAATGCGTACAAATATTTAGCAAAACAAAATCATCATTTAAAAAATCATATTGCAGAGCTAAAGTAAAACATATTCTATATGTATCCAAAGTCTTCCATTGTATTAGTGACATTCGTAGCAACACAACCTCAACCCATCCCAATACTTTGGTAGAATTTTAATGCTAAGTCACACCGGGATTTGTACTTTGCACACCTGACAAACATAAGTATGAGTTGGCATGACTAATTAATTATCATTACTGTATTTTACCTATGTCTGAATAACTTATTTTTAATATTTTACACATGATAAAAGGCGTCAGAAATGTTCTGTTATTTTGTCACCTTTTCCTTTGTTCTTAATAACCTTAAGTCCTACCAAACAAACTCTCCAATGCTTACAAATACATTCATAAAGTTCAAAATCTAATTTGCATAATTTTATTCTGCGGCTTACACAAATTAATTGTTCAACAGCATGTAAACTTCGATAAAATATTTTCTTTCTAAAACATGTTCATAGAATTTACTTGTTTATATCGATAAAACGCTCTTTCATAAATAACTGTAATCAGCATTCGTATTTATATTTCCTCGGTTTTCAACTGTATAAAATTAAAAGGAAAATGCTGTCAATGTTTAATAATTGAAGGGATTTGATAGGTATGATTAGATTTATCACCGTTATCACTGATACAGTGACCCCCCCCCCCCCCCACGACTTTATACGAATCCAGTTCTATGCTAAAACAAGAATGCCAAGGTTTTTAATTGAACTATTCATAAACAAAAAATTCATTACACTTTTGAAATATTTTGTGAAAAATAACTAATTGATGAGGTAAACCTGAAATAATTTTTTTTAAATAATTAACACAGATACACATGTTACGATTTAGTATATTTTGTAAGAGATTACTCAGATATGATAATTTCTACACTCACGATTACAACACCGTCATTTCCATCATTTATGCAAATTTTCTAACTCTTTCACCAGCAGATTCGTAAAATTGAAAAAAAAGTAATACGTTTATCATGTTTTGAAGAAACAAACTTAACGAACAAATAAGCACTCTAAGTGCGATAGAATATGACATTCGTTAATTTATAATGGAGTTTTCTATGGGGTTTTCTATCTAAAGCATTTTATAATTTGGCCAATAAGTGACGTATTCCATTTGTTTAAATAATTCAGTAATATATCAATGAAATAATGTTTGTTTTTTTTAAACCAAACGTTAAAAAGGAGTGCGAACATTGAGCCCTTAAGATGATAAAAAAAAAATGTGAAAACACTTCGGATACATTAACATATTCGCCCATTCTTGACACAACAGTTAATTCTGAATAGAGCGCTATGTACAGGTTTGGCCGTCAAACGAATAGATATATATTCATTAATTCTACACCTTTCACTATATCATTTCACCCAAAAGGCGTCTACGGCCTAAACTTTTGACCTCTGTTAATTAATTAATGTTTGGTTGTGCTATTAAGAAACAGCTTGTACGTAAAATTCTTTAACACAGAAATAGTGCTGTGTAAAAATGTAGAAAACGTATCTCGTTCTGCGATAATATGCTCAAAGATTCATTGTGTTGTTTATTAGCGCAAAAATGATTTAAAAATATATGACAATGTATTTTAGTACACGTATATGCAAAAATATATCGAACCATAATTAGTGCAAATTGTATACAAATGAGGATTAATGAACATTTCTACAAAATGTTTGGAATGGAATATGAAGATTACGAACAGTAATATCATGCTGAAAAGTCTATTTAAAACAATATGCAAATTATGAGCAGAGAAAACACGGACCTCTAAAAATATCAGAGGTGGGATCAGGTGCCATGGAGGAGTAAGCATCCCCAGTCAACCGGAAACACTCGCCAGGTGCTCTTCAAAAATAATGGCCTAACATTTTGTATGAAATACGTACATGCAAGTCAACATTCGACCTAACAACAAAATTGTATTTGCAAATATGATCAATTGTATCGACCAAAGAAATTGCGAAACTTAGACTTTAAATGATTGTAGATACTCTTTTATAATCAACTTGTTTGTCAGTAGCCTGCCTTGTTTAGAAATTATTCGTATGGAGAGCGTTGCATTGCGTGCTGAAACTACTGTGAGACATAAGCTCCATATTTAAATGATAATGGTATATTGCTACATAATTACGGAAAGTTGACGATAAAAAAAAGTTAATCATGAGGTTTAGTTGTCAGTTTGTCAACAATATCTTTGGTAAAATATCAAAATATGAAGTTGTTTTAGACTCTCTGGTGTCTTTTATTTCGATTTCATTGGGATATAAGGAAATGAACAGTTTTTCAAATGTGTACAAAATCTAAGTTCTGTTTGTCTAGTTGTCATATTCTGTGCCCTTATGTCCAATAACTCTGCTTTATTGTCATTTGTTTTATTTTTTACAGATATGGAAGGAAGACAAGTTTTCCTGTTCATCCTATTGTCTGTGATATCATGTTCTCTTGCCAAGAAGTAAGAACCGCCATATTTTCATCTAATAAAGATTTTTACATTACTTGAATTTTAAATCTACCAATTGAAGAAAAACTCTACATTTTTTCGGGTTGAATACATTTTATTATATCAAATTCGATGAAAAACAGATTAAAACACATTTTTAACTTAAGTGGTTTATCCTCTCTATGTATCCCATTCAGATGCTCTGTCTAAAAATATCGTATCTTTCAGCTCCTACATTGTTATGTTCCCAAAAACCATTCGTCCTAACCTGGAAACAAATGTGAAAGTCCAGCTTCTGAATGCATCCCGTGCCCCGGGGACGACGGTAGTGGTCAGTCTGCTGGACAGTAATAATAGTACTGTCGTCTCCGAAATGAGGACCACAGGTAACTATCAGAATAAGCACGCTTTACGTTAATTCGGAAATACTTGATTTACTACCAGTTGTTTGAATTCGATAAATTTACATCCATTTCAGTGTTACAAATATTTAACTTGTATAGAAAGCATTTTCATTGTATCAGGTTTATGGATAATATTGACTTCTTAAATTTTCTTAAAAACCTTACATCGTTTTCTCTTCAGAATTCTGTTTATTGTTATAAATACCTGTACATTTAAAATTCATTGAGGAATCAAGATAAACCAAAGAATTCTTCGACGAAACATAGAGCAAACTAAATATATATTTTTCCTGTTTATTACAAAACATATAAGAAACATAGAGCAAACTACATACATGTTGTACATGTTTATTGCAAAATATATCAGAAATATAGAGCAAACAAAATATGCTTTGCATGTTTATGATAAAAACATATCAGAAACATAGAGCAAACTAAATCCATGTTTTACAGGTTTATTACATAAACATATCAGAATTTGTAACATTTATCATAAATGACTCCTTTCTCTTTTTTCTTTTAGATCCTGCAAATCCAACAATGCTTACAATTCCTTTAATGGTAAGTTTAGTTTTTCTCTGCATGATATAGAATACATTACCAGCTGTACATTTCAGAAAAATCAAGAATTCATACATAAAACATAAATATCATAAAGTTATTGAAAATGAAACATATTAAAGATCATTGTTGTTTATTTTCAAAAGCTTTATACATTGAACATATATATATATATATATATATATATATATATATATATATATATATATATATATATATATATATATATTTAGCTTGGTAACCTTTTATAAAATATTCTTTGCTGACAGTTGGTTTAGGTTTTTCGATGAAATAACTAGATGTTGATCCTCCCTTTTTTTTATTTCTCTAAAATTATATGCCAAATTTCTTATATTGCTCCAGACTAAAACAATATTTTCCCGTTTAAGAAACATTTAACGTAACGTTAAATAAGTCAATTGAAATTTTAATTTCTCAAATGTGATTTTTCATAATGAACAGATGCCCTCCACTTTAAGCCCTGGGGAAGAGTACGCCATAAGTATTCAAGGAGAGGGAGGCGTTAACTTCAGTAATTACACAAAAGTAGAATTCAATCCTAAATACTCCTCCGTAATGATCCAAACTGACAAAGCCATCTACAAACCTGGACAAACAAGTGAGCATTTCATTATTCCCAAAGTTCTTCTCACAACAGAACCAATTATGAAAGCTATTTCATATCTGTTTTTGTGTTTTATCGAATTGTATGCACGTTGAAAATCACATCTATGATAAAACTTGAGCTCTCCTTATGTGTTTACTTTCTGTCTCGTTTCGTTTTTCAGTACATTTCCGTGTCTTCGGAATATACCCAGACTTATCCATTGTAAATCAGAACATCGATGTTGAAATATATGTAGGTAGCTTGTTCTGACCTTTATGCCTTTATTACATTAGTGTTTAAATCGAAATTTTGAATAAGAGAAAAGAACATTATGGATCTATGGAATCATTTTTCTTATTTTTCAAGGACCCTCTTGGAAATAAAATCGCCCAGTGGAAGAATAAAGTTCCTGATAATGGTGTGTTTACAGACAGTTTAGTCATGTCGGACCATCCCGTACTCGGAGAATGGAAGATAAAGGCTGTACAAGGGGTAAGGGTGATTTCCAAGTTTATCCATTTTTCCTTTGTTTTATTTTTTGGCTTCTTCTTCTATTTAATGTTATTTTATCTTAAATAACTTTTTTAACTTTAACTGTACAATTAATTTAAAACAAATACAAAATAGAACTTTAAGTTAAAGAAAATTGCTACAAAATAAGGATGTATTATTAATAAATCTGTAAACGGTATAGAATTATTTATGAATAATTCATTTGTTGCATTTTTACCTTTAAACTTTAGGCCTTCTTATTTGTATGATAGAAATATTTTGACATTATTTTCTTTCACTTCAGAATGAAGCCCATACGAAGACAGTGACTGTAGATGAATATGGTAAAGTATTTTTCTGACCATTGCTATACATGCTTTGTCAAGTTTAGTTTTCAATGTTATGTCATCCAAGGTTATTGATCAAGAACCCTTATATGCCGATTTTATAACAGTCAATTACATTGAATGATTTCAATTTTAGTATTGCCAAAGTTTGATGTAACCCTGGACCTTCCTCCATTCGGACTTAGCAACAGAAACTTAACTGGCATTAAAGTCATATCCAAGTAAGTGTACTTAGCGGAGCGGGACAGGGTAACCTAGGACATTGTATATTCAATACAGATTTTGAACAATTTTATTTCAACAAGATCTAGGTTTAAATAATAGTAAATAATTTCCTAAGCATCATAATATATTAAAGTTTATTTCATCATAACAGGAAAGGGGTGATATTTTTCGTTTTTACATTACAGATACACATTTGGTAAGCCAGTGAAAGGAATAGTTGACATACGAATCCGACCTCCTTACCTCAGCACCAGTCCGTGGTCTATCGAAAACAGGAAGAAACAGGGTCTTGTGAACGAGATTTCTCATACTGCACCGGTAAATTTATATCCATAACAAAACTCTTACATATACTCTTACGTAAAGCATGATAATGTAATTAAAAAATCAAAACCATTTCGTAAATCCTTTATACATCCTGTAAGTTATATTTCGATGTCTATATTTTTCATTTCTACAGATAAATGGTGAATATAAGTTTGACGTAGAGAATTCAAAGCTTAAGAGTCTTGATAAATGGCTGGACTACAGTGAGTTGTTATTTGAAGTGAATGTAACAGAGGCTATAACTGGGCTTAGACAGAACGCTTCCGGCACTGTCAGATTCTATCCGTTTGAAAACAAAGTGGAATTCCTCGAATCTCTACCAAAGACGTTCAAACCTGGTCTTCAATACACAGTCTTGGTAGGTTAATTAAAAACATGAATGAATAGAAACGCAGATCATATCTGTATATATGTATGAAACTTCTATTCTACACTTGGCTTCCAATAACTAAGTTTAATGTGCTCAAGTTGTTCATGTCATCATACTGATGTGTTTTATGATGTATTTCGTTCCATTCTTGAATAGGGAAGAGTAACACGTCAGGACGATTCACCAATTTCCCTCCCAACGGCCTCTAGGGTCAAACTGACCGTGACCCACACCCTCCCTCTCCCTTCGACCACGACCTCCACCACCACAACTACAGAAATGCCACCATTAGAACCAGGAATGAGGCCCGGCCGCTTACCAGTAGACGAACCAATGATCTCCCCCATCAGAGGACGTTTCTGGCAACCAGTGTCCAAAGACGAAAGGCTGGAACCTGTCTTCCTTGATGTTGATGCCGATGGAGTGTTTAAATATGAAATGACAATACCAGAGAATGTCAAACGTGCATCGGTGGAGGTAAGTGAATGGTGTCTGAGTAAACATAAAAATCTCATCCGTTTTTAGATTAAAGTTGATACAAATTTATTAACCTAATTTTTCCGTTTACTACTTGTAGGCAGTATATGAAAAGGGCTCTTCTTACCTCAGTCTCAATCCAAGTAAATCACCCAGTAATAGCTTCATGCAGGTGTCACTACTTAATCCAGATGTCAAACCAAAGGTAAATCTCTCTCTCTCTCTCTCTCTCTCTCTCTCTCTACTTTTTAGCTCACCTGAGCTGAAAGCTCAAGTGAGCTTTTCTGATCACCCGTTGTCCGTCCGTCTGTCCGTCCGTCTGTAAACTTGACACATTTTCAACTTCTTCTCAAGAACCACTGGGCCAATTTTAACCAAACTTGGTACAAAGTATCCTTGGGTTAAGGGGAGTGTAAATTGTTAAAATAAAGGGCCAAGTCCTCTTACAAGGGGAGATAATAAAGAAAAGACAAAAATAGGGTGGGGTCATTAAAAAATCTTCTTCTCAAGAACCACTGGGCCAGAAAAGCTGAAACTTATGTGGAAGCATCCTGGGATAGTGTAGATTCTTAATATTTGTAAAAATCATGACCCCCGGGGGTAGGGCGGGGCTACAATAGGGAATCCAAGTTTTACATTGAAATATATAGGAAAAATCTTTAAAAAAATTCTTCTCAAGAACCACTGGGCCAGAAATACTGAAACTTATATGGAAGCATCCTGGGCTAGTGTAGATTCTAAATTGTTCAAATCATGACCCCTGGGGGTAGGGCGGGGCCACAATAGGGAATCCAAGTTTTACATTGAAATATATTGGAAAAATCTTAAAAAATCTTCTTCTCAAGAACCACTGGGCCAGAAAAGCTGATACTTATATTGAAGCATCCTGGGGTTGTATAAAATCTAAATTTTTCAAATCATGACCCCTGGGGCTAGGGCGGGGCCACAATAGGGAATCCAAGTTTTACATTGAAATATATAGGAAAAATCTTAAAAAATCTTCTTCTCAAGAACAACTGGGCCAGAAATACTGAAACTTATGTGGAAGCATCCTGGGGAAGTGTAGATTCTAAATTGTTCAAATCATGACCCCCGGGGGTAGGGCGGGGCCACAATAGGGAATCCAAGTTTTACATTGAAATATATAGGAAAAATCTTTAAAAATCTTCTTCTCAGGAATCCTGGGTTAGTGTAGATTATAAACTGTTCAAATCATGACCCCCTGGGATAGGGCGGGGCCACAGTAGGGAATCCAAGTTTTACATTGAAATATATAAGAAAAATCTTTACAAATCTTCTTCTGAAGAACCACTGGACCAGAAAAGCTGATACTTATATGGAAGCATCCTGGGGTAGTGTAGATTATAATTTGTTTAAATCATGACCCCCGCGGGTAGGGCGGGGCCATAATAGGGAATCCAAGTTTTACATTGAAATACATAAGAAAAATCTTTAAAAATCTTCTTCTGAAGAACCACTGGACCAGAAAAGCTGAAACTTATATGGAAGCATCCTGGGGTAGTGTAGATTATAAATTGTTCAAATCTTGACCCCCAGGGGTAGGGCGGGACACAATAGGGAATCCAAGTTTTACATTGAAATATATTGGAAAAATCTTTAAAAATCTTCTTTTCAAGAACCACTGGACCAATAAAGCTGAGACATATTTGGAAGCATCCTGAGGCAGTGATTCTAAATTGTTCAAATCATGACCCCCGGGGGTAGGGCGGGGCCACAATAGGTATATTAAAAGGGGGAAAATCTGGTAAAGAACAGCATGGCCAAAGTTACTCAGGTGAGCGATGTGGCCCATGGACCTCTTGTTATTATCCACTGAAGTACATTTGATTCCATTTGAGGCATTCTGTTGATGTACGTTTTGCGCGCATATGACATGAAAAACTTTGCTATCAATGCAGGTACTGCGTTTTTTTTAAAATATCATATATTTAGTATACTAAGGAAAAATTTCAATACATTTTTGTGATATGTATGTAACATGGTGTACAAAGCAACATATACAGGCTTTTTTCAATTTCAATCGAAAGCAGCACTCGTATATGTATTTCTTTTGTAGAAAGATAATTCGTCAATGAATGTTTCGGGCAAAATCGTATTTGTTTCCTCTTGGAAATGTTACTGAATTTTAATTTAGGTGTGCTTCTTATATGAAAAGGTTGAGAAGGAGTGAATGTATAACTGGATTTTCCATTTTGTGATCATTTATTTTATAATTATGAGGGTGTCAACCAAATTTTCAGACAAAAGGTGGCACATGGTGCAACTCAGATATTTGTTCTTTTGGGTTTATGTACAACTTGAAAATATTGTTGATAAAAAGAAGTGCAGTCTCTATCTAAAGGTCTCGATCTGTACTCTGATGAACCAGGCAAAATTTACGAAATATTTCATAATGAACATTTCTTTTCGTTTTTCAGACTGGATCTGTTTCAAGGTTTGAAATCAAGACTACTGAGCGTACTCCCAAAGTTTACTATCAGGTGGGATTTTTATCGTTTTTCTTTTTTTCCTTTGAATTGTGAGCCATTTCAAATATCACATATTCGAAAAAAAAAATAAACACTGCTTTAATTGAATAGTACCATGAAATTACTTATTTTTTGCGGGGTTAACATTTGTTGTCTTTCTGGGATGAAGAGACCAAGGAAATGTAGAAATTTCATAATGTATTTTGATGCTTCTCCTAAGTAAATCTAATCTCTTTGAACCAGTTATTTTACTCCAAACCTTCAAACTGATATTATTGACCTGAAGAAAATAAATAAATTAGAGAAAAACTGTCAATCTTATCACAGTAAAGCTTTAAAAAATAATTTTAAAAAACGCTTTTTAAAATTTTTCTCTGTAGCTTGCTGAAGATGAATCTGTTGAAGTTTAAGAAAAGTATTTTGATGAAATCTTGCACTTTCAGGTCGTTTCAAAAGGACAGGTGGTAGATTCAGGTGAAATTGATATGCAATCCTCAGGGGTTAAAATATTTACCTTACCAATAACGACAGAAATGGCACCAAAAGCCCGGCTTATCGTCCATTATGTCAGGAAGGACGGGGAAATTGTCACAGACGCCCTCACATTCAATATCGATGGAATCTTCAAAAACAAGGTAGATTGTGCTTTACTATATTCGCATAATGTTTCATTGGTTATCAGTAAGAATCTGCTGTAATTAAACATTTAAAAACTAGAATGTGTGCATGTCTGTGATCCAAAATAAAAACATTTAAATAATGATGTCCTTTTTCTCGAAATAGGTAGACATAGACTTTGACGTTCAGGAGACGCGCCCTGGAAAGGAAGTTGTGGTATCCGTCAAAGCGGATCCAGATTCCACGGTTCATTTGTTGGCGGTGGATAAGAGTGTTCTGATTTTACGAAGTGACAACGACATCAAAGAAAGCAGGGTAAATTATGGAATAAGAAGTCGTCAAAATGCATTTCTGAGCCATTCCTGAAAAGCAATATGTAACGCTGAACTATTTTTTATATAACGACGAAATAAACTTTGATATTAGAATTATCGATGAGTGATTAATTTATTTTGCTGCAGGTGAACGACGAATTAAACAGCTATGATAACGCTTTCTCTGGTGGTAACTGGGGACCCTTTGCTAGAAGCTGGCATTGGTGGCCCAGACCTTCAGGAGGGGAGGATGCTGACGATGTGTTCCGAGTATGTCCTATTTTGTTTGTTTTTACTATTTAATAATCAATATCAGTCAGAAAACTATTGAGCATAACATTGCTTTAGAATGATTAATATATCATATTGTACGTTACAAATAATTTTAAAAAATAGACACAGAATACGGATATGTGGGTATCTAAAAGTGTTTGAAATTATTATCTTCATTTCAATGTAAAAACAAGTTGTTCTTACCTCCCTCCCTCCCTGAATATTTTTTAACTGTGGATGATATTTCCTTACAGAACAATGGAATGGTTGTTCTTACAGATGCCTTAGTGTATAACTACGAAGAACCATGTGAGTATTATACTAATCGTACACCTATTTTTAAAATTTATTCAATTTAAATAAACTTTTGTGATTTTGATCTTTAATATTCTATTTCCTTGCACATTTTATAAATTTTAAATTTGTAAGATAATGAGGATTTTGTCTTTTTCTACAATAATTACAATGATGCTGTTCCTCTTTGATTTTTATTTAAAAGTTTTGAATTCGTAACAGAAAATTTTAGGGAAAATTTTAATATAATTGTTTAAAGTTATCGAGTCACAGCATCATTCTATATGTTTGACATTCCGACATGGCATTTACTACTGGGACATTCTCGCAAAGGCTTTGGGTTTTGCATGTCTTGCTTTGAATTATAATTTACATATGATGCATATTCTTGGTGCCGTTTTTTTCCTTTTTTTATTTTTCAATTTTACATAATGTTTATACATTGCATTTTTCATAGTTTAAGCATGTTTCAAGCAGCAAAATAGTGGTTCAACTTGACCATTTTCGCATGTTCACAATTAACAAAGGCTTTGTTTTGGTCATTTATTTTTAATAATACACTTGTAATGGGAAATATTCAATGAATTGGGAAAATTACGGAGCATTCATGGTTTTTAAAAAATAACACAAGCATGGATGACCTAAACATAAAAATAAAAGATAAGTAAATAAATAAGTTCAGTGAAGAAAAAAAGAAAAGTGCATAACTAGAAATATTTAAGAGCAATTATTAGATGAAGAGTGGTCTACTTTCTCCGATGAAGAATCCCGTTGTATAGTCCCACGTATCCAAAGGCCATGTCGGTCGTCACGCAAATACATGATGACGTAATCTATTCAAGGGCTGCAACCCATGCCGATGTTACGTAGAATGGGTGGACCCGTAATGGCCATGGCTGCTCAGCCAGTCGCATTTGCAGCCATGGAAAACAGAGCGATGGCTTCTCCTGCTGCTGGAGCTGGACCCCCTTCTTCTTCGTCACCCCCACGCGTGAGAAAAGTTTTCCCAGAAACGTGGCTTTGGAGCAATTCAAGCACCGGGTAGGTGATAGCACTCCCTTGCATGTGTAGGTGGTCGTTTGGTGTAGATAATTTAGAAAACGGGCAAAATTAAATAGTGAAATAATAGTCTAAGTACACAAGTGAACGTTAAACTGAGGTATTTTTAAAACAAGTATTTGGTACATATGATATGCATTTCCTGGTAAAATGAGGAATAAATTGAAACTGAAGGAAAAGAAATTACTTGCAATGGTGTTTGACTCTATGTAGCTGTTATTCATGTTTGGGCATTGACAAGAACAAAACAAAAACCACTCTTTGCTTTAATTTAGCGACTAAAAATTTTTTTTTTAAAAAACTAAACTGCTTACTTTCTTTTAAGACAGAAATAATGAATTTTTTCCATGGATAACTGTTTAAATTATAGTAATTAAAGTATAGTATAGTAATAATTTTGAACATTGAATGAAAAAGAACTGTTCTTTTAACTAACAGTTTATCAGAGATCCCTGATTTACTTCTGATTAAGATGCTATAAGAAGACAGTTACAAACCTAGAATGCACTACATTCTTCTTTTCAATTGAAATGTGAAGATAAATATTGAACTTTCTCAAAAGTTCCTATAAAATATACAAAACATGAGAGCAGAGCCATCACAGACCTCTGAAAAACCGAGATGAGATCAGGTGCCATGGGGGAGTAAATATCTTCTGTCAATCTGCCACACCCGCAGTGTGCTCTTTGTCATGGCGGAAAATCCGTAGACAATTCAGTGTGAAAATAATGGCCTAGCAATTTGTATGTAAAAGGTCAGTCAACATTCGACCTAATGATAGAATGTGTTTGCAAGCAAGGCCATTGTATCGACCATAAAATTTGCGAAATATTGACTTGAAAGGAATTGTTGATGTCCTTGTATCATCAACTAATTTTTCAGTAGCTTGCCTCGTTTTAGACTTTCTTCGTACGTAGAACATGCTCTTGCATATCGAATCATTTGGGAGACATAAACTCTTTTTGCAGGTGATAATGGTATATTGCTACATAAGTAACGGATTTTGGCGATAGAAACGTTGAAATCACGTTTATCATGAAGCTAAGATATCAGTTTGCCATCACTTCTTTTACAAGTAAAGCATCCAAATATGAAACAGGTGTGTCAGACTCTGTAGTGTTTTATTTCGAGTTCAATGGGAAATATCGAATTAACGTAGGAACGGAAGTAATTGCTAACTGATAAAACATCGATATATATACACATAAATGTCGATTTGAAGACCACAGCAAGAGACTTCAAGAGACTATCGTCTGAATGTATTTGGTACAAGAACAAATTGTTCATTAATACAGCTGACCTATGTTTCATTCTGAGTCAAATCTTAGCTATAGGTGCAGGATTCTTCACTGAAGAATATCAGAATGAAAGAAGAATAAACACAAAAAATAAATTATCGTATATTATCTTTGGTGAAATACAATGCATTTCTAGCCACAAAATACTTTTTGGTGAATGTGAAAGAAGAAATTATTTAATTTGGCATAAAGGGTAAAAATCATATGTATATATTACATTATCATATTCACTTCCTTGAAAATATCCATTTATAATAATTTGACGGTTTTACTAGCGTTGATTATATTACAGAGTGTCTAGTGTTGAATGTGCTAAAATAAGTCATTTCTCAGATATTTACATTTTAAAAAGTTATTTTTAAAAGTTGTGTACAAATTATTTCTTTTCTTTTAAACTTGTGTTTAATAAAAAAAAATTCAATAAATAATGTTTTAATAATAGGCTACACATTGTTAAAAATGTGTCCCGCAGAAAATTATACTCCACCTACATTCAATAATAAACAAGCTTCGTGCCAGGTAGCATCTCCAGAAATGGTTTATGATTTATGACACTTTTTAACCGTAGATAAGAACACGGTTTAATGAATGCTTTAAAGTGGCTTTTTTTTTTAAAATATTGCACTCAACTCCACATGCAATACGTCTAATGGTATTTCATTCGCAATAGAATTTGTTTTTTTTTCTTCCGAAAAATCCTTGGCTGATGGATCTACGCACAGTTTAAATGTGATTGTTTATGCACCTATCTTAATCTTTCAGTAATACATCAGCAGAATCAGTAGGCTTTAAATATGTCGTTTACGTGCGTCTTGTAAGAATATAATTTTTAATAATAGGTCTGATATCCCAGCCGAATTCATGAGTCCATGGACATATCGACATACTAATTTTATAATTCAAAATATGAATTAACCTATCACGTATATATAAGGGCAGCAGAGGTGAGCATGTTTCACGCTTTAATGCACAGTCCCAAGTAAAGAATGGTTATGTCGGTCCGATTTTTATCATCGTGGAGTCGAGGAATAAAAAAGAATATTGTATTCAAGGGTTTCCACCGATGTTTAGTCGAAGAAGATATTTCGCTAACACTGTTGATGCTGATGAGGTATCGCTATCAGATATGTTGGCTGGGTCACCTTTAGAACAACCTAATGATTTATCCATTCCGCGAGTTAGGAAACTGTTTCCGGAGACCTGGTTATGGAGTAACTCGAGTGTAGGGTATGTCGACATGCATATAAATGCATATAATTAGATTTTGACTTACAAGGCACTTGTTATTAATTTTGGGTTTTGACTTATCAGTAGCCTGAACATATTTGTGTCCAGGTCCTGGAAAACATGACAAGATGTATCTTTATAATATTTTCGTTACAGGTACCGTCGTTTTTCATTGTCTGATTGAAGACAGTGAGGTGGTCAATAACAAGTGTTATTCATTCAGTTGCAGGAATCTGTCTCCTATTTCTGATTCGTCAACATATTGTCTTTCTTAATTGGGTGTTGATTTGTTTTTATCATCTTGGAGGGACTGCAATAAAACGTCTTAAATTTTTATATGATTTACTCTTCATATCGTCTCGTCTTTCTTCATCGCTCACAATAGAAACTAAATTCGTTTGAGCGATGTGTTATGTTTGTTATATTTCATTGTGTAACATAAATCTTTGAATTTTCTTTCTCTTTCTGTTTAAGGTCATGCTTTTTTCCTCTTGCAGATATGATATTGTCTATTTTATTTAAGTTTACGGCGCTGCAAATACATCCTTCTTAGCTTCTTTTAACAACAGTGTAAGAAAATATCTTAAATACATGAACATTAAAGATTTAACATTTAAGATTTAATTTATGAAATATGCAATTCATTGAATATTCAACTAGAAGATTGAAGAATTTTGGATATTCTCTGACTAATTTGGAACTAAAAAGTTGCTTTGTATAGGGCCATAATTACTTTTGTTACTGAGGAAAAAAACAAGGATGCATTTATAATTTTCCTTAATTAAATTGAAATATCCGACTGATTAAAATGATCCTACTTTCCTGCCTATTCCATTACAAAGGAATATCGATAAGTTTCCGTTTCAACTTACTGCTTATACAAGACTCCTCTGTTGCTGTTGGTAATGGTTTGTTATAGGATTGGATGGCATGCTTCTTTATCCAGGTGGATGTCGGTCCCTGTTTGCCACTTTCTTTTCAGCGAAGAATATTTAAAGATGTGTAATTACACTTGAAATGCTAATTTAGCGTGAAATTTTTTGATAGCCTTTTCCAATTAATATTTCATTTCAATATCGAGGAAGAAAAAGAGACAAATTGCAAGTAAAAACAGATCAGCCTTCTTACCTTTGGCAAATCGCTTCTTTCTTTTAAATTCTGGAATACATTTGCAGTGAATTGATATTGTTACTTTTATTAAATGGGTTTTTTATGATTCTTGGATGCCTCAGCAAATGGCATTAGGAGGCGGAAGGGCTCATATTTCTTTTGATTCTATGCCGCAACCACCACCGCCACCTAATCAACCAGACCAATCACGAGCTCCTCGTGTTAGATCAGTTTTTCCTGAGACTTGGTTATGGAATAACTCAACGTTAGGGTAGGTTAGGGTGATTATTCAAGATTCTAGTTAAGCTCTTTTAATTATTGTACCTGTTTATTTGCATTAAAAAGAAGCTTCTTCGTTGTATTTTTGGACCATTTTGGGGGATGCAGCACTTTTGTGATTGTCAGATTGAATGAAATGAGATGGTCTACATTGCTTTTATTTACATGTAATTCGTGTGCAGGAATCGGATTCCTTATTGTGACTCGTCATAAAAGTGTCTTTCTCTCTGTTTGGGGTCTGCTTGTTTTTTATCATCTAAAAGGGACTTGAAGAAAGCGTCATAATGTTTTTATACATGAATACATAATTTACTTATTTATATCGACTTACTGTTTTCCATCGCTAACGGTATCAAGTAAATTCGCTTGAGTAATTTTGTATTTCGTTTGAAATATAAGTAACATTGTGGAATCTTATTATAGGAATCCTTACGTTTTCTTTCTCTTTCTGCTCAAGATCATAGTATGTTTGGGTTATAATTTTCTGTATTTTAGATTTAAGTTTGAGATGCCACTATGAAAAGTTGATGATAACAAACAGTAATCGATCTAAAAAAAACTTTCAAACTATAGGTATATGTGAACAGGGGATAAACAGGAGGACCCCTCGAAATTCCAGGATCATGTGCCTAGGAGGATTAAGCATCACCGGTCGACCGGTTACATCCACTGGGGGCCGAATGTATTATAAAGTTTACGGAATAACCCATTGTCAAATTTAATATTTATACAATGGCTTAACAAAATGGTATGAAATATGTCAGTCAAAATAAATTTCAATAAGAGGAAATCAAATTAAGGTCATTATAAGAACCATTAAATTTTTCGAAATCCTGACTGTAATGAAACATGAGGATAACGAACAGTAACCAAGCTCAAAAGTCAATTGAAAAAAAAAACATATTGGGAGCAGAGCAAACGCGGATCTTTAAAAACATGAAGAATCAGATGCAATGGAGGAGTAAGGATTCCTTGTCGAACAGTCACATCCGCCGTGTGCTCCTAGTCAATATCGATTTAACGAAAAATCCGTAGACATCAGTGTGAAAAAAATGGCCTAACATTTTG